CACACACACACACACACACACACACAAACACACACCCACACACAAACACACACAAACACACACCCACACACAAACACACATAAACACACACACACACCTCCTTGATCTCCTTGATCTGCTGGTCCAGCCCCCCAATCATGTCGTACGTCGAGTCCGGCACCTTCTCCACCTTCATCAGGCTGACCAGGGGGTCCACCTTGGTGGGCAGCAGGATGTGCAGCGTGTAGCTGTCGCTGCGCAGCGCCACGCGCGCGCCTGGGGGCATGGTACCGAGGGGCCGGGGGTGGGGTGGGGCGGTGGGAGGAGTGTGGGTGGGCGCGGTGGCTGGGAACGAGTGGCGTCTCCACCAGCGGCCCTTCCTCCGCACCCAACAGTCTCAGGTCCACTATCAGCCGCGCCTGCGACATCACCACAGGCCGCCCCATCCTCGACCGTCCCCTCAGCAGCCCATCCCTCGCCGCCCCGACCTACAACGCAAATCCCCAGGCCAGCCTGACTCCACCCGGAACCCACCCCACCGCCGCCCCGCTCCTCACGCCGTGCAGGGCCCGCACGCCTCATGACACCGTTCCATGCCCCGCCGCCGCCGCGTCCGTCGCCCTGGCCATGCACCCCCCAAATAAACCCCCACACCCACACCGCACCCACCCGGCGTGAGCTTCCCGGCGTCGATCGACTTATCGAGGTCGACAACATACTTGCCCTCAGGGTGCACCTTCACCAGCACCTTGCTCTTGCCCATGACCTGCGCGTCAGCGGACGCATTGGTGTCAGGGCAGGGGATCGAACTGGGGACATGATGCTGGCTGCGGCAGCTGGAGGGGCGGGAGGCTGCGGCCTGCGGCCGCGGGGGTCTGGTGCCTCGCCCAGGGTGGCGGCAGGCAGCAGGGCGCTGCTGCTGCTGCTACCTCCGAATGCGCGCTGCAGGTGTCCCATAAGGGCGGCTGCAGCGTGCCAGCCGCAGCGGGCCAGCCGCGGATGCGCCCCTGCTATTGCACTTGCGAGCCACTTGCCCTTCCGACCGGCTCGTCGTTAATCAGTCGCTGGCATGGAAGCGGCCAGGTGGCAGCTGCGGCCGGCCCCCAAGATGCAGCAGCATGCCCTCAGGACATGAAGATTGCAGAGCGTTCGGCATGCGAGCTTGCGCTCGAGTTACGCTGTACCCCGCTGCATTTCGCGCGCCACCGCCGCACTGCGCACCTTGATCACCTCCCCCACATAGGAGCCTGGCTCCTGCAGTAGCTGTAGCTCTTCCCGTAGTTGCCGAACTGCGATCGAGCGTGCCGCATGTAGACATAAGCACGCCGCGGGGCGTCCCATGACACCGGGTGCGTGCAAACGATCCTCTATCGCCTCGCACCCTGTGTGTTGAGCTCGTTCCGCTGGGCCTCGAGACGCCTGAGGTTGTGCGTCCGTTCTTTCACCAACAGCTCTAGCTGTTCGACCTTCTGCTGAAAGACCCATGTCAGGCCCTCCTGCTGCTTCCCCATGGCGCCCTGTGGGCCTATTTGGCCTGATACGTAGGCTAAGCTGATTATCTGTGATACAGCAGATCGGGCAAGTATGCGATCTGTGGGCTCTCGCGATTGGGTAGATCACGAGTTTGTGATATTGTGTTACGTGTGCAATAGAAGGCCTCTTGTACGTATTGAATCGCAAAGAAGACGCGAAGCACGGTTAATTGATTGTGGTTGCGGCACCCGCAAACCACTGCCCGCACCGCTGCTCGTGCTGCTGCTTGCTGCCTGCTGTGCGGGCACAATGTGTCGACAGACCTTTGCATCGTCGGGATCTTCGCGGTTCCAGCAGGTGGCTTGTAACCTATTTGTGGATACTTCAAACATGCATCTAGGGCTTTTCAACGGACGGGGAAAGGTGGACGCAACCTACGTGGAGTTGGTTTGTGAGAGCAACCGCCTACATGCAACTGTGCAACTGCACGTTTTCATGACCATGCTGCCAGCCTGCAAGGACAACCATTTCAAAAAAATCCACGATGTGGCAGTAATGATTGTGCTACAACATATAAGGTGCCCGCGGGTGTTACATGTAAACTGCCCGCTGACAAAAAGCTGTCCGCGCCCCCACCCCTTGAAGCCGCGCCGCCCGCGCCGCCGCCGCTGCCGCTGCCGCCGCCGCCGCCTCCACCCGCAACCCCCTCCGCGCGCCCCCCCTCAGCGCCACAGGCCGCGCCAGGCGCAGCACCTCCGCCTGCCGCCGCGCGGCGTCAGGATGGAGCGACTCGATGGGGTCCCGCGGCACCCCCCTGTGCTCCGCCATCACGCTGCCGGCGGCGCAGCCCCAAGCCGCGCTCTTGGCCAGGCTGGCGCCCCGCGTATAAGCCGCCTGCGAGAGGGTTCAGGAGGGGGTTGTGGACCACTTGGGCGTGTCAGCAGGCCGCCGCCTGTCCCCCCCCCCAAAAGCTCGTCCCGAGAGTGTGAACGATAGCCCGCTCGTAATGTGCGGTGATGCGATGTGATGGTGCCAATGCACAAGCAAAGACCCGTATTGCAATCAGGTGGTCAGACAGGCCACACACCCCACTACACGCGCCAGCTCGATAGCACACCCCTCACCAGGAACGCGCCGCAGCAGGCGTTGCCGCAGCCGACGACGTCCCGCACGACAGTCCCAGGCACGGCCGGCACCTGAGCATGGGGACACAAAGCGAGCACGGGCAAGCGGCTCAAAACAATGAAGAAAAGCTTGCATGACCCAAGATTTGTGGCTAGCTTCCACCTGACTTGCCGCAAAAGAGGGCCCCGCCTGAGCAGACTCACCGAGACGGCCTGCCCGCTGGGCCCGTGGGCAGCGAGGACGCCGTCTGCGCCGCGCCGCAGCAGCACCGTCGTGGCGCCCAGGTCAATCAGGGCGTTGACCAGGTCAACGGCCGCCGCCTCGTGCTGCTGCGGGCCCTCGGCGGCGGCTGCATTCATTTCGGGGTCGAAGCAGGCGAGGGCCTTGGTGGGTCATCGACAATTGATACGAATGATGCACGATTTGCAATGCAGCAGTTGCCAAGGAGATGACGCTCGGGCGCGTTGACACACATACAGCCTTGCGTGTGGGCAATGCAGTGGCGGCCGCCTGCACGCGCACCCGCTATGCATGATCGCCTACACATGCCTATGTACGCCCGCGCACCCGCATCGAGTGCGGGCCCTGCGCCCAGAATGCTGGCCGCTTCCCCCTCGTTTGGGCTGAACACGTCGCAGGCCGCCATGAGCGCCGCCAGCTCAGCGCGCCTGGAGGGCAGCAGCGGCGCGTCGCAGCTGGTGTATGTCTCAAGGGACAGCAGGCCTGGATGGGGCGAGGGCGGGCGGCGGCGCGGCGGGTGCGAAAGGAAGCCAGAGAGACAGGTGCATAGGGGGTGGGAAGGGGCTGGTCGATCAATTTCGAGTCACAAAGGGAGACAGCAGGCACTCAGGCATGGCCGTCTGCAGAAGCGGTGGGGCGAACTCCCCGGAGGAAGCGCCGTCCACCAGCAAGCAGTGCCCTGGGGACGCGCCCAGAGGCGCCGTCCTGTGTGCTGAGGCGCGGCGGACCATTTCTCATCCGCGCAGAGGGGTGCGGCGCGGCCTGACCTCCTTGCGCATGTGCTGCATCTCGCAGGCTGCGCAGCAGCTTCATAGGCGGGAACGCCGCGTGGATGCCCAGGTGGTAGGTGGAAGCCGCCTGGAAGCTGGGTGGCAGCTCAGAGAAGCTGGGCCGCAGCTGCCCGTAGAGCGCGTCGCACTCTCTGCTGCGCCAGACCTGGGTGCGGCGGCCATCGTGCTCCATCACCTGAGGTGGGGGGGGGCGTTTAATGGTGGCGGCTAGCTGATGAGGTGAGGGGGACAATTCACGCCTGCGTTGAGGACTCGTTGAGAACATTTCTGCACCACCTATTCGACATACGTGATATTTCAACGATGAACAGCCTCATAACGCAAATGTGTTACGGATTCAAGCTGATCGGCAAAGGAAAGGGTGGGGCCACGACAATCAACCGGCATCAGGGCGAGGACGTGGCCCCCTCGCTAGATCTAAGCGCCGCCTGCTGAGCCGCGCAGCCGCATGCCCCGCGCCGCCCCTGCCCCGCGCCGCCGCGCCGCCTCCCACCTGCCACGCGCGCGGCGTCGGCAGTGTGTCGCTGGCGATGAGGCCCGACAGGTCGCAGCCGACGGTGGAGGACAGCCACCGCTGAGGGGTGTGGCGGGTGCGGGGCCGCAGGGCCACAGGGTGGAAAGAGAGAGAGGATGAAGTGCGGGAATCGGGGTCTTGGCATGCAGTTGAAGTGAAGTGCGAGCCGCCCAATTTTTTGGGCGGCTCGCATAAGTAGAGAGCCACAAATCAGGACGGGGCCGCGGCGCACGAATCCAGGGAGGGAGGTGGGATTTGTGCAAGCCGTATCGTTCTCCTGACCCACAACAGACTCAGCATAGCTGCCGCATGTACTGGACGTTGTTTTTTTGGGGCGAGGGGCGAGGCCTTTGGATCGAGCTCGCGGCAGCAAGGCCACACCTCGACGCTTTTGGGCAGGTCCTTGCCCACGCCCGCCGCCAGGCCCACTCGGGCCGCGCCGCGGCGCTGCAGCTGGTAGCCCCACAGCGTCTGGGGGCCTGCGGGTGGAGAGGGTGGGGG